GATTGGTTGTTTGTCAAACATGATCATATTAGGTCTAGAAACATTTTTCCCTGTTGAGGTGATGTATGAGTCTCCCATTAGAGCAGGTGTATCCCAGTGTCTGAAAGCATATTTGGAGTGGCTTAAGTTTGCATTGGTCAATGTGCACAAGTTTACATACCAAACACTAGGAAAGACCACAGTATGGCAGAAGACATTTTATGAAAAAACAGTTAAGGAACAAAAGTTCCAGGGTGAACATTGGGTATGTGCCAGAGGTGGTGGAAGCAACTTGACTCTGGATGGACAGTCCTGTGGCATGTATAAGCACAAGTAGCATGTTGACAAGCTACAGCCAAATGTTACTGAGGAACCTCATGCACTGGTTTGACCATGAATAAGAGGTTGAGAGTTATGACTCAAGAGGATAAGAGTGCTGTTTCAAATCATGGCTCAGTTGATGAGGAGAAAGATGCTGAAAGTGTTTTAGCTAGCTGTTCAGGATAAGGAAGTGCCTGTAGAAGAGGTGCCTGATAGCTCTAGTGGTTGGCCAAGATGCTGCAGCTGATCTAATCAATACTACAAGGATTAACTGATCTTAGTGTTAGAGACTGAAAGGAAGTGGCTTTCAGTGTTTTCTTAGTTATCAGGTGGTATTACATAATGATATGTGTGTAACACATTTTATGATTGCCACTTGATTATCATAAAGTTAGGACAGTTTGTTGATAACAAGATGAATGGGAGTAAAAGGACATTGCTTATTTTATTTTCCAAGCTATCGAGCAGTTTTGTACAGAAACGTTCATAAGAAATCTTGTGATAGCTGTTTGGTTATCACACAGGACAGCTAACTCTTAGTAGATACTGTGCCTAGCATATCATCAGCTGAAAGGGCATTGTGACAATAACTTTTCAAGACATCCAACACTATGCCATCCAATATTTTGGAAAATTGTTCAGCTGAGTATTAGTGGAAGTTCTACGAAGCAGATCACACAAAGCTTTTTAGACTCGGCTACAGTACATCAGAAGTGTATATAAACTTCTACATGTGATATGAGGGTGTGTGTTCTTTCTCAGCACTGAATGTGGATTAGATTTATGTATATCAGTGGTATTTGACTATGCCATGGATTTCTATCTTGTATTATTATTATAATATTTATTCGGAATTCATTCTTTGTTCTGAATATGTGCAGGTTTCACATAACATATGGTCAAGAAAACAGGTAAGTTGACCTTGTTTAAATTATCTTTTTCTTTAGTTGTTCTCATAGTAGGTAATACCTGTTATTATCTGGGGAGAACACTGCTGAATATGATGTTGATAAGAATGTTGAAAACAGCTGTTCAGGTGATATCTAGAGGTTATGGCTCTACCTATGTTGTAATGAGAATGACCAGTCAAGTGGGTAATGCATGTTGCACAAGGTAAATGTGAGGTTTTTTGGAATAATGGAACCTGTCATTTAAATAGTGTGATATATATTATCAGTGCAAATGGTTGAGTATAGGAGAGCCAATGGAACTGATTGTCCAGTGTAAGAACTGCAAGTACACACATTGTGTTTCTGTTATGTTGTTTAATAAAGATTGTGCATTTTCTACACTTGTGTCTATTTTCATTATTCTCTTAAACATCAACTCAGTTAAAGTAACACTACATAATTGAAATCTTGAGTGAATTTCCAGTTATTTAGCAGACCTATCCATTAGCTCAAATAATAATTCAGTTCAACTGAATATACCACATCTAAGTTGAATGTATAGTCTTATCTTCTCTGGATTCTCCCATATTTATTTTTCTCATACCAAGTGAAGAGATTTCATAAACTTTTTGATTGGTGGTACAATATCTTGCTAGTTTGGTGATGGGTGTTAGCAGCCATCTAAGACAGTAAAATTATTTTACTATGGAATATTTTATTTAGTCTAAGTTGGTCTGACCTCAGGTGTGCGTTGGTATATATATGTATAAACACACACATACACAGTAGCAACAGCATAAATATTAATCATGGCTAAAATAATTTTTGTAGAAAATTCTTAGTTTGACTAAATTCTGTGAGACATTACTTTTTATTTTTTGATGAGAAAACGAGTTTAATAGCTCATAAGTGGCAATACATTATGGAACTGTAGCTGTCAAGACATAGCTAGTAGAAGTAGCCAATGTAACTTAACAAAATAATAGTGATGAGCCAGTCTGTCTGCAGCTACTGGTGTATGTGATGTTTAAATATACACTATAGGTAAAAAGTTTGGAATCAGTAGATAATGAACAAATTGACTGGAGGCGAGTACAAAATTGTTTCTTTTCCTTCACTCCTATCAGTGGAATACTAAAATCATTGCATCCCTGACACTACAGTCATTGATGAGGAAGTTGTCTCATAAGTGAACTGGGAAGCCAGTGTTGCCTCATAAGTTAACTTATGATATTTGAATGATACATATAGATAATTTATATATATATATTTTTTTTTCTCAAGATTTCTGTGCATATTGAGCAGGTATTCTTAATGTATATTTCAGTAACTTAGAACATACTGTATTGAAATAGACAGTGATCTTTTCCACTGGCAAGCCATGTGATGCTTCAGGGATACAGTATCTCTTGTTTTGTTAGTTACATGGGTAGCATCTGCATCCTGAGAAAATGGCATTGTTGTTTTTCACACATTTTTCTATGTTTACTCAGTTTGAAACAAGATGATACGATGATGATAAAGAATACTGATATGTGTGTGTGTGTGTGTACACATATATATATATATATATTGAATTACTTTTGACACTCTGTGAGCTCCCCAGTAAAGACACCATGAAATACACTTGTCCTTAAATTTTGATTGTGTTGGAAATAAAATGTTTTTTACAGTGCTTAAACTTCTTTCTACTCTCTTTCTTTGCTTTGAACTCAGTCAAGGTTAAGAGAACATAGATTTTGTCCCACAAAACATTTTCTGGTAAAACTCCAGTTATTTTTCAGCTCCAACCTGAATACTCACAGGGAAATCAGTGAACTTGAGAATACCACATTATCATATAACTTTATTATTCCTGATTATTCCAGTGCTATCACAGTCTGGAAGAATAACTGGGAATACAAACTATGGAAGTCAAATTCCTAGTAACTACTAAGGTTGCTGCAGGAGTATAGGGAAAAGAAAAATTTGACTTCAACAGGAATTCATTTTTACAATTTGATTATCTATGTGGCTTTCTGTGTATGTGTGTGTGTGTGTGAAAGGCCTCACTGTTTGAACTCTGTCTTGAAATAATATATAGAAAATTAAGATTAGAATAAATGTTTGACCATTCAATTGACCACACTATGATATGACTAAAATTCCAAAAGATTTTTGCAACTTGATTAATACCAAAATTAAAATGCAGACTAAATTAATAATGGACCTTAAGATGTTTGAAGTTCTTAATTTGTTTTATGCCCAATCTGAGTTTCCACTTTTAATTAATGCATCCCTTCTGTGAAAAAACTGATTATTGCTACTCAACTTTAGTGGTTAATAGGTGGATACCTTATTTTTATGGAAATAGGATAATAATATAAAGTTGTTTTTTGTATGCCATTGGATCAAAATTGTTGACTACAATTAATTACCATTCTGGATAAATTCATATCCAAAGAAACTCCACCTCTTCTAAGTTTCAAGCTTTATTTTTTTTTCTAGAATAATTTTCTCATTCTATAAGTTTAAGTAATCTTCATAAAGAATTATAAAACTACACCACAATAAAGACAGACTTTTTTCCAAGGTATCCAAACAAATCCAGAAGTTTCTACACACTGAGATCAAGAACTGTTTATGGGGGGTGGGGTTGGTACCAATAAAACTGGCATCCAGAGTAAATTCTTGTACATAGAAACACTATCTATTCTTATTTTTAAAATTTATTCTTTTCTGTGATAGTTTTTCTCAAGAACAGTTTCTGTTATATCTAAACTTCTCTGTACAAGTGGGAGCCAGACATAGCCTAGCGGGTGGCACACCAGGCTGGAAATCTGCTGTTCCATAGTTTGCATTTTGGTGACAGGTGCATTATAAGAGTGATGATCAAATTACATCATTTTATTAGAGTAGCCCATAAGTTGTCAGTGTTGTTGTTCCCTATAGCCTATTGGTTCCAAATTAGGGACAACTAATACTAAGGATGTAACACAGAAAACTTTTTTATTCTTTTGTTAATAAAGTAGGGCACTGGTAGGTATTTTGGTTTGTTGTTTTTGATGTTTAACAAGTTAAAAACTTTTGCAGCTGCAGTGGAAGAAGATTGTTTTTACTTATGTTTTTTACATTTAATTTTACATTGCCCACCCATGGAAGGTAAACATTAGACAAATGTTTTTAAAATTTTAGAGAAATATCTTTGCAATTGTAGATACTTGTATTATAATTTTTACTCACAGCAAAAGTCAGTCTGTTTCAAACCATTAAATCTATTAAACTTTAAATATTTCCTATTCAGAGTTAATGTATAGCAACAGAAACTGTAAGATATTGATACCACCAGAAAAATAGCCTGCTTTGCAGCACTTTTCTGAATAAAGTTTTGAATCTTGTCTCTTATTGTTGTATTTATTCACTGTTATGATAGTATCCATTTTACTTCTATATAGTCTCCTGGAGTAAGTTTATAGATTTAGAACATTAAAATCCAGGGTTAGATTTCTGTTGTGTATGGAGCACATATAAATAATTATGTAGCTTTGCACTAAAAACTTCTTTGTAAGTAATAAAAATCTGTTTTTTTTCAGTGAAAGATGAAGAAAATGAAATATCCACTTAACTGATGTAACATAAAATGTTTATTAGTAATATTGGTACTGTTATGGCAAAATTTGTCAAAATAAGTGAAATACCAAAAGTACAGTTTTAGTATCTTAACTCTTGATCAAGTTATGTATTCAGATTATATATTTTTTAACACTTTTTGTAATTTGCTACTATGACGTCAAGTGTTTTACTATATATATATTTTTTTTATGTTTCAAGCTCACTAAAAATTGAGTCCCTTCAGAGATGGGAGCCTGATAAATATGCTGTTGCAATTGAAACTAGCAAGGTTTCCAATCTCACCCATGTTTACTTCAACAAGGGTCTTTAATTTTGGAGGATATAATACTGGAAATGTTGCTGTAGGCCACGGTTTCCTGTTGCTGTACCTGTAATTTGTAAGACAAAGTAATCAGGTGCTTTCAAATAGAATATTATGTGTTACAGATATATGCAAAAATGAAACATAGAACTTCAGTGTGGTTCCATGCATGTGTAAGAATGTGTGTAATTAGGTAAGTTCATTAGTTAGCCATCATATAAAGCAAATTAAATATGAGGCAACCATGTGAAAATAGTAAATAGAAATATCAAAACAAATAATACATGAAATGCTCTCTAAAACGTACAGCTATGGTGACTTTTCAATATGAAAAATGTGTAGTGTAATACATGAAGTATTTCATATTATATTTTTTTAACAAATGAATATATATATATATATATATACATATTATCAATTTCTAGAATAACTGAAGTGTTTAATATTGGTTTATAACACAAGTCTGCAAATTTAAACTTCATAAAAGTTGGTTTTAATAACAGATTTACCATAATTCCTCTATTCAGATTTCAAAAATTATATTCATCTTTTTTCTATCACATAAGGATTTTTTACAAATCAGGAAGAAAAAACTTACTTAGATCAAAGTTACAACGAATTTACCACAAATATAGCAGAATATGTTTGGGTCATTTACACAACCTCTTGTTGCCATAGCATTGAACAAATAATATTGAAAAGAAAAAAAACGATATCAAAATGCTCACACAAACAAATGCTATCCAGAAATGACACATCATGTGGCCTGTTAACTGTTTATATACTAATGATGTGTTTCTTGTAGGTTTTAGAATGATCGATAAGATTATCATGTTGTAATTGTTTACAGTGGGTGTAAACTTTTTAAGCATAACAAAATATGACCTGATTTCAATGAATATGATTCACTTATGTAAAAGTAAATATGATGTTTTATGAAAAATCTGTACGTGATGGAGAAAAATGAATATCATTTTTGGATTCAGAGTACAGGAATTACTACAGAACATGGAAAAATTTCAAGATAATAAAACCACTGCAGGCCTGTGTAATTTGAGTTATTAAAGTTAGTATGTGAAGAAGTTAAAATGTTTCATACTTGTACCTGATAAAAGAAATTGTACTTTGGAAATGGAAGTTTTACTCTTTTATGTGTGAATTTCGTAAGAAATGTTTTTTTATTTAGTACAGTATTTTAATGTTCAGATTTCATGTCACAATTTATGCAGCAAAAGAATAAAGACTGAAATTCTGTCTGCTTTCAAATCTCTTTTGAATTGACTAATAAGAATTGTGAGAAAAAAAAAACATTTGCAGTTTGACAAGATCTTACAAAGTATTGTCTTTTTTTAGCTGAAAAAACGTCATTACACTGTATATGTTATTTTAGGCACTTGAAATAATAAATGTTTAGTGTTTGGTGCTGCATAAACATAGAATTTCAAATAGATTTTTTGATTGCTTCATGTCCATCTGATTTGATGAGTTCTGATATTAAAAGAAAGACCTCTGAGCAGTAATCTGTGACAGACAAAATTTACATATCAGAAACTAATTTAAACACCAAGTTTAAATTGTATGAAAAATATTTTAAATCTGATGATTTTTATCATATAGTAATAAAGATAATAATTTAAACTACCATTTCTAGCTTCAGACATAAAACTGAGTAGTTTTAGTGTCATCCCCATACATGCCAATAAACACCTTTGAACTGAAAACTTTAAAAACAATAATCATATACATCAACAATAAAATCCAGCACTTTAACAGACTTACCCAAAACCTTTACAAACAAAATTCTAATCTTGCCTTCATTGACAACATATACCTTACACCACTTATTAACATTAATTTTCTTGTCTGTGATGGATTTTGCCTCTCTTAACATTCTTCCAGACTTATCTTTATCATCTAACTCTACATTACCCCAACCCAGGGCTACTGAGAGCAGTCATAAGCCTATGGAAAGAATGTGCCCCCCCCCCCCTCCAAATAGTTTTCAGTTGAAAAGATGCAGTGTGCACACGTGTTTGAAGACATAGTTAACACTTGTTTGAATGTTCCATTCTGATTTGATACATTCCATACACATTCAATGACAAGGAACCCACTTTGAGACTAATAATGGAGATGGCTTGAATGGGCAATGAAGAAAAACTTTTAATATAAGTTTAACATAACAGCAAATGTTCAACGTTTCGACAAGGGTTTGTCATCATCAGGTATTTTACAAAATAGTAGCCAAGACAAGTTAGTTTGTACAGACCAAAGGTCAGTTTTTGTAACTTCTCTATTGTTAGCCAGGCAATATAATAAAAAATAATAAATATATATATAGATGTATAATGTTATGAGATTTAAGCTTTTTAGTCTAAACATTTATGTTTTCATGTTATAATTTATGTTCATTCAAGAATGAAAGCGGCATAATTAATGTTTATTTCCTAATTTTTTATGGTGGTTGCGAGATCGGTCAAAATTACCAACCCATACAAAGATTAATTACTGAAAATAACAGTTAAGATATAAAGTTTCTTTCTTAAGAAATGTTTGATAACTATCCGAACATTTAAAGATTTCGCATATGAAATTTCTAAATTTTCTGATGCATGAAAATATTTTTAATCTTAAAATGAAACTTACTTTGCATGATAGATAGCCAAGATGTAAAAAGGAAAAAAAAAGGCATGAGAGAAACATTGCTTTACAAACCATACAACCTAATAAAAAAATTGATATTTTGTGTATGAAAGCATTGTAATGTTTACTGATAATCTGCCAAATTTCGTTAACATTTACTTACGAATTTAAAAGTTATAGCATGAAAACTATACAAGCACAAAATCGAGGTTGTCACATTGACTGACCCCTTATTGAAAGAGTTAAAGCATTACTTCTTCGTGTTTGCCGCTTTTTCCTGCTTATGAATTTCGAAGTTACAGTCACCACTTCGGGTACTTCGCCAGCATCTGATGCCATATTTTCAGCCATAAGCACAGGATATATTGTCATTCAAATGCCGGGAGGTTGAATGGTATATAAGCTAAACTCTCTCATCTACTTCTGCCTCCTGAGCCAGGCCAGGTTGACGACAATTTTGATTATTTGTTTTCCCCTTGGAGTTTGCCACGCCTTCCCATTCAAACTTGCTCGCCCTTTCAGCCGTGGGAGCATTATATTGTGATGTTCAAACCCACTATTC